TAACCCTTCCAGCCATGATCCCTATACCAGCTCAAACACATGCTTTCGACCCTGCATTCGCTTCCGCCTTCTCTCTCGTCAATCCAGATGGTTGGGCGTCCCCGCCTGGTCGAGGCTTCCTCGCTTTTTCCTGAACCGCGAGCTGGTGAGTCCTCTCTTTCGATTCGTATACCCTCAATCGTCCGTACTTGTGGTTTGGCCAACATGACATGGCCAAAGTCGTGTTGCTCACGCTTGACTATTTTCAGAGCCCTTTCCAGCTTTGTGATCCGCTTTTGAAGATCATAGTGGTATATGAGATGGCAGTCCGGGTCTTCCAGCCCTTCTTCGCATGTCCGCAGAGCAATTCGTTTCCAGTGCTTCTTCTGGAGGTCCTCGCACCGTCCATCAGAAGGTGTAAGAGCCCACATATAGTGTTCCTCCAACAGCGCTTTTCGTTGATACCATGCGCCCCGTCGGGCAGCGTGGAACAAGCGCTGGCCTAGCAATTCACACAGGACTTCGTGTTCCCGTTTGTGTTCTTTGAAGCGCCCGAGCGGATGAAGGCCTTTATGAATGATCCGAGTATAGACCCAAGCTGGAGAAAAGCGACGTAAGTAGGCGCCTTCACCGGCTTCGTAGATCGTGTCTTCCTTGCGCTGTTCCTGTTCGAGTAGAATTTTCCATCGGGGATAGACGTCTGTACAAACGCGTTTCACATGCTCCAGCCTTTCCTGAGTGGGTGTACCGTTGAACTCAAGAAGATTGTCTATTTGATGTTGTTTCCGAAGTGCTGATTCGAATTCAAGCAGAAATTCTCTGGATGGGAAGATCGAGCTAGAGCGACATACAACATACTCGGGAAAATTTCTGCGGGAGATCTTCGCAAGAATTATAGTGGTGAGGGATTTCTCCGTCCACTCTGTGGACCTGTAAAAGACCAGATGAACTCTCTCGAAGAGAGCATAAGGCCCCGACGCAAGTCTGATGCAGTCGCCGGTATACTCAAGGATTTTCTGAATATAATGGTCATCTCGATTGACGGCAGGAGGTGAGTCGTGCTCTTTATCATTCCAGTTAAGACCTGTTTGTCTCTGGCTGGACGCGCGAAAGGCTTCAAGCAGCTCCTTCTTGCTCTTGCCTTGAACCTTTGCGTCCTTTGCGAGGACTTTGAGTTCTTCAAGAAGTAGCAGAGAGGATGCTTCCTCCAGAGTCGTTATCTCATCAGTGTCATCGGCGAACCTGAAATGAGTGAGGTCCGCACCACTGCCGGAACTCATATCTTCAGAGGTACCATCCGAAGATACTAGAGGGACAGGCAGCTTGCGGCTGGACCGAAGATCAGCAACCGCCTGGGACATATCACTAATGTCCGAGTAATAACCCAAGCGATTGATGCGATGCCAAGCCGAGGTCTTGCGAAGGAAGAGCCGTACATATCTGACGATAGACCATCAGCTTGTTTCCGATGACGCATCCGATGGCTCGACTCACAAGTATTGGGACTCATACGACATCTCCTTCCACTGTTTGAAAACCTCTAATTCCGCCTCATTGAAAAGATGGGCTTCTTCGTCCAGCACAGTTTCCAGTGCCAGATTGAACGCATCCACGTAGATAGAGCTCCTTCCCTTCCGCCATTTGCCGTCTTGAAGCCTCTGGCGCAAATCAGGCTCGTCATCCTGTTCTACTGCATGCGAAATCTCATACTGTTCGATAGCTTGATTATCTGTAGGAATATCTGGTAGCGAAGACTCTAGTTCTGTCTGACTGTTTGGGACCGGGTTCTCGTCCTCGACCGCGATATCGCCGGCGACTTGAGCCGAGGGCAGGGCGTCCCATGTATCTAACGGACTATCAGAGGTATCGATTTCATTTTCGGTGATGCTGGACTCGTCTTTCCGAAGTGCGACTGTTCTGGGACTTTCTTGACCCTCTTTAGTAGTAGTCTTCCTGCGCTTCACTTGAGGGCGCGATGTGTCCCAGTAGTCCAGAAGGGACATGCTGCCACGAGAGCTTTGGGATGATCATTCGAGACGAAGTTTCAGAGAAACTCTCTGTGAACAGCATCACCAGTATCGATTTGACGGCCAACGACGCGCTGACACGACTGTTATTGAAGCCTGAAAGACCATCCCCATCGCTTGGCGCTCAAACGTGTCACGAAAAGACGCGAAGTCACCTGAGTTTAATTGGATTTTGTATCTGTTTGATATGTTTGCAGCCTGACCACCTGGCAGGCAAAGCAGTAAGATAAGCAGCGCTGATGAAGGCGCAACTGTACACATCTAAAGTAAGCGCATGAATTATGACTTCTATCCTCGCAGTCTGTATATATATCATCATTTGACATAATACTAGCCATGGCGGACGTTCCTGTGAGAAATACCTCCCCTCATGACCATCTCCACAGTGGAGAGCTTGAAGGAGCTCCGCCCGCAAGCTCCGCCCTGGGAGAGATCTTTGTTCGATCAAACTGCGACATCACTTTTAACTTTCTGTCTAATCTTGACTGTTGCTTCATTCCTCCCTTGCTTCAATCAATCATACCTGAGATTGCTACTCCTCCATCTGACTCCTAGACTTTAGTCACCAGACTCGGCCGCCTCAATCAAGAAAGAATTACCCTCTACGTCCTCTGCGCCTCTGAACAATTCAATCCAACACAGTGATCCAACCTCCGGTCCAAGCGCATCACATCTATTCAATATGGGCAACGGAGCAACACCCGGCAGCAACACCGGCGCCGCAAACACCCCGCGAGCAGAGTCCACTACACCCGCGGCGCAGGTCCGTCCGGGCGGCGCGCCCGCACGAGTATACATGAACGAAAAGATAGTGCCGTACTTGCTTGAGGGGATGAAATCCGTCGTCAAGGAACAGTGAGTGGTTTCTTATTGCTCGTGAAATGCGCCTGCCCCGTAATGGCTCAGCGCAGGGCGTTGCGCAGGACATGGATCATTCACGCGACTAGTACTAATATCGCCCTTGCGACAGACCCTCAGACCCCCTACGCATGCTAGGCGAGTTTCTGATTCAGAAGAGCAACGAAGTCGAGGGCGGAGCGGTTTCCTCCAAGAAGTCGCCTGAATAGGCTGGGGGATTTCGGACGATGGCGCTAGCGAGCGCTGTGAATTCCACCGATGATCAGTTACCTCATATCTACTGTGCCTCGTGGAGCGAATTTCAGAAAAGGCAACTGAATGCTCACGAGCACCACACCGGCCCTTGACTCAGAGCAGCGGCCATCCCGATGAGAAGGGACATGGACTGTCGTCAATACCTGTCTGTGCCACAGATTATCACTGTGCTGACATTAATGCTCGACTTGGATTATTCACTCTTGCAGGAGAACATCCCACCACGGGCAAGAATTCCAGTCTGTGTTGCAAGCTAGATTTCAGCGAAGGTGCACGCTTTTTACCTGTATATTGTGGATATAGCGAGAGTCTTGATCTTAAGGTTGATATTGCCTCTTTAGAGACGACGACATAGAATATCTCCGTTATATGAATCACAGTAAGAATTTTGTAGTTCTCGCGTGGATGCGGCCTGGCGGTGACTGTAAAAAATGAATATATATATTTCGAAGTCATTCGGCATCAACCTTAAAATCACATGCCTGTAACAAACAGAATGTTGAGCAGGGCTGGTGAAACAAGACTAATTGGATAATAAAGGTTATACAATAACGACTTATGATGACAGTCAACAGAATATTGTAATAGAAGTTGGTTCTAACACAGCGCCTGAAATCAGACTAGCTAGGGTCTCCAACAAGGCTTCACTATATGATGACTACTCCACTAATGCATGAGAAGAATGTTGCTAGGAGCAGATTCCCCATATTAGAAGAATCCACCAGGCACCATAGATTTGTGGTAATAATAACAATAACCCTGATTGTTAGTGTCGCAGGAGAGCCAGATGAAAGAACCATCACCACAAGGCTAGCAGAAAGTTGGAGTAGAATGAGAAAGGAGGGCTCTTGCCCAAAATCTTCGATCAGGCAAGTGGTGGAATAGAAGCTATTACTGTATTTGACGTTAGTATTCTTTTCCCTATTGTTTATCCTTACCTCTCGGGCTATTGTCATTCAATCAGTGACATCGACATGTGCCAATCAGCCACTTGAGGATGCGGCGGCAGGCCTGTAGATAGTGAATCAACCCAGGGTATTACTTTGGACTAAGTTGATCCGGTCCGGCGCAACAAGAGATGCCATTTGGAGAAGGCTGTCCTCCGGTTGGCGATACTACAGGCACAAAATAACAGCGGCTGTGGCAGAATTGGCGAGGAAAAGCCGGATCCCGTTCAGTCAGTTTCTTTCAAACAAGGCGTAAGAACAGAGTCCTTGTGTGGGTGGATGAGCCGAAGCCATTTTGTTTGTTTATGTGTTTCAGGCCGAATACAATCGAGTCGTTACGTAGAGAAAGCTGTATAAGACGCAATAAGGCGAAAAGCTGACTAGCGAGACAACGACCAAGTTTTCCGGAAGAGTTGCAAATGTAGCAGTGCTGACCCATGAGATAATCCGAAGAATTACAACGTTATTGTGAAAATTTGTTTCTTTTTCCCTGCCGCCATATTTCCCGGGTGTATCGAAGCGATGAACAAATGAAAAATATCAGCCTGTGACCGAAGAGAGTCGACACAGTTCTGTCCTGGCCTTTCTTTCTTGCTTTGTTTTGTTTTGAATTGGTTGAGAGATTGGTCGCAAAACTGGTGGCCTTCCGATCGAAAAGACATGTGAATGTGAAGACGACTTTTCCTTCGAAGACAAGAAAACAAACTATCACGCCCTAGGGTCGGCAGTCGAATCGAGACCCAATCGTAGGGGAAACTCTCGAAATAGAAGCGTTTCAAGAAAAATTGGAAGAGTAATGGCACGTCACAAGAGAAAGGGGCAGGAGGATAGGAAGATGGGGAAAAGCCAGCGAAAAGAGAAAAAGACTAACACGGGAAATAATTACGTGGCATGAACTCGGCTCGAGTGTTGGCTTCCCATGTCGTCAATTCGCCTACCGGCCACTGTATCTGTCTTCGCCACCACGGGGTTCATAAGTGCGGCCAGCGTAGGGTTCACGGGCAGGAGGGGCAGCGTCGCCGTAGCTGGGAGGGTTAGCATCACGATCATAATAGCCACGACGATCGTCACGGCGAGGCTCGCGACTGTACCGCTCTTCACGGCCACCACCACTACCGGAGGCGTAGCGATCAATGCCACCACGGTAGCTGTAGTCGTCACGGTATTCACGACGAGGATAGTCGCGGTATTCGCGGCCTTCGCGCCCTTCGCGCCCTTCGCGGCCACCACCATAGTCACGACGTTCACTGTAGGAGTCATAACGACCATAACGGTAGTCGTCACCACCACTGCCGCCGCCGCCGCGACGAAAGCCGCCACCGTGAGGTCCGCGTCTGTCATCGTAACGGTCACCACGGCCACCGCGGCCACCAGGTCCACGGAAGTCTGCAGAAGGAACGAGTTAGCAGTTGAATTGTACCCTTGAACCACAGTGTATGAGGACTTACCACGCTTGGGGGGTCCGAAGTATTTGCCAGGAGTAGGAGTTCTGGGGCGGCTACGACGAGCCTTCTCAATGCTCAGAGTACGGCCCTCGATAACCTCACCCTGGAGACCCTCCTTGGCAGCATCAGCCTGCTCGGCAGTGACCATCTTGACGAAGCCGAAGCCACGAGACTCCTTGGTGTGAGGGTCCAGCATGATCGAGCAGTTCTCGACATCGCCGTACTTCTCGAACAGACGGGAGATATCGGACTCGGTCAGACGAGGGTGGATACCAGTGACGAAAAGGTTCGAGCCCGGGTTGATGGCACCTTCTTCATCATCATCAACGGGCTTGCGGGAATCGACAGAGGGACTGAACAAGAGATGTCAGCGTGCTGGTTCATGCGATACGAAGGAAGTGATAATCTAAGAAAGGGCGAAATTACCGCTCATCGGCACGTCCATTGGGCGAACGGCTGCGAGCACGATCGCCCCGAGGCTCATCGCGAGGAGAAGCGCTGCGGTCGCGAGCGAAGCGAGGCTCGTCTGAAGTTGAGAGAAGCAAAGCAAATTAGTACTGCGACCGTTGTGTTGACAACTATGACAGTTGTCGATCGGGATGTCTTTATGCAAACACATACCGTCGTAGCGACCGTTCTCGTTATCGTATTCAGCAGACATGATGTCGATTTTGGAATAGAGGATGAAACGAAGAAAGTGGATAGGTGATAAGGGAGGTAAAAAGATGAAAGAAGCTTGTTACTCGAAAGAGCGCGCGAGATGCACGTCCTACAACAGGCTGTGGTTGAATGAAGGGGGAAAAAAAAGGCAAGCAGAAAAATCCAATCAGCAACAGTCGCGGATTAGACTAGTCTGCGCTAGGAATGCTGAAAATCTGAAGTTATGAGATTCCCGTAAGAAAAAGGAGAAGTAGAAAAAGAAGGAGGGATGAAAGAGATGGGAGATGAAGGAGGATGGGTGATGGGTGATGATGATGGTATGGTGGAAAGGAAGGGGAAGAGATGGCGCAGGAAAAAGCGAGGCGAGCAATTCCAGACCGGGCGCGGTTCTCGTGTGGATGGCGCCAAGCCTCAGCCCGCCTGGTGTTTGCCTGCAGCAACGACATGTTCCTGTCACCAAGGAGTATCTACTGCTGTCGACAGATTAGCAAAAGCTGAGACAGTTCCTACTATCTACAGATGAGAGAATTAGTTTTTTTTTTTTTTGGCAGTAAACTCAGCGTCAATTCATCCGTAATCGAATTAATTCTCATTCTTAGCAAAGAGCACAATGCGCAAAACAATGCTTCATCGACACAGTTATAACACTCATAACACGCCTTTGCTCCCATCTCTAAAGGGTCGAAATAAAACTCGCAAGGGGAATAAAAACGACTCAAAACAGAATCGCGGAGAAGAAAGTAGGGTTTAAAGCCATGTGCGCAAGTACGTCGAAAAATCACTTGAATCCACGCCATCGTCTCCGAGTTCGATGGACTTTCACAGCCGTCTCGCTGGTTGGAGCGTCTGACGCAGCAGCAGCTGTATCAGTGGGCGCCGAGTCCCCATCCATCTCATCGTCTACCAAGTCTTTCAATTCGTCCTCATCCAACTCACTGAGCTCCTCACTCATCCCCCGCATGACATCGCGGCCGGTCCAGCGTTCTTCGTGGATAGTCGTTCCCACGGGATCGAATGGTTGCATGTACCATAGAATACCACCCTGCGACAAGGGATGCTGAGGATCACCCTGAAAGCTTGGTGGAGGTGTAATAAGCCCTTTCTGGGATTCAGTCGGCTGTGCGAGTAGTGGCGGGCTATTAAGTTCCTCCTTGCTTGGCTCGGCTTCCTGCTGTGCTTCAGCACTGGTGGGAATTGTTGCCGATGCTGCAGGAGCGAACTGATTTTCCGGCTCAGTCACCGCCGCCGGGGCAGTAAGTTCAGCAGAATCAGTCATGGCAGTATCCTGTATTTGAGCATCTGGGATAGACTGCTCACTCCCAGCATCAGGCATGGGAGCATCCTCTGCCTTCTCAGATAGGGCTGATGAGGATGATTCGTCTTGAGGCTCAACTTTGGCAGGAATTTCTGCTTTACCGCTAACGTTCTGTTGCATACCATCCGGGATTTCACTAGGGACCTGATTATCGATATGTGTCTCGCCTTCAGCCTGCTCTGCAGATCCTTCTTCCACGGACCCTCTTCGGGAGAGGACACTGTTCTCAAACATAAGATCCAGCTCTTTTAGTTCCTTCTCGAAAGGCTTGCGGTTGAGCTCGCTTTCTTTCTTGATCGCATCCTCGAGAGCGGGCTGGATGGCCTTGATGATGCGCTTAGCCAATTTCCTCTTTTCACGCTGTTCAAGAGGGAGTTCAGGAGCGCGCCCGCTGATTTGCATTTGTAACTCAGCAGTGTCCCCGGCAGGTTGCACCCCTATTTCCGACGTGAATATGGAAGCTAGGTCGGCCGAGAAAGCTGCAACCGATGTGTAGTACCGCTGTTGAAGCTTCGTGCGTAGAGAAAGCAGACCTTGTTTGAAGACGCCTTTTCCGTCAAGCCTAAGATGCCATTAGCGTGGAAATTCTAACCGTTCGATGACCAGAATGAGAATACTCACCCTTGAGCTTTGTCATAGATAGGCCAGAGCAGAGGGAAAATAGGGAAGTATACGGTATCCACAATGGACCTTAAAAGTTCTGCATCCTTCAACTTTTCCCGCTCGCGTTTCTTTACTTCATCGCACAGCATCCTGAGCCGATCCAGGTCGTACGACAATCTTTCACCAAATTCGATACGTCGCTGCAGTCGCTTGCCACCACTGACCCCCATGGCGACATAATCTCTTCGTGTCATCTCCATTGACGAGAAAGTTTCCAATGACAACTGCAGTCGTTTCAAAAGAGCTGCTCCTCGCCTGGCTTCGCGTTTGAGTGTCCAGTACTTGCAAGCATCTTCGGCATACTGTTTCCTCTGCCGAACACCAAAGCGTTGAAGGGACGCCACTACGGAATTAAGGACAACCTGAGGAATAACGGGAGCACCAGACGGGAGCTTCCATATCGTCTTTGGTGGACCAATGCGTTTCCTTTTGTTTCCACCAACAGTAAGCGTGATGCGCGGGGTATGTGTCCTTTGTCCATCGAATTCCCCGGGTTCGGTTCCCAAAGGATGGGATGGCTCCAGCGACAGAGCGGCCGCCTGGCTATCACCCCATTGCCTGCCTTGCATTGTGTTGCGGTAATATTCTATAGCATCTGCCGTAGCAGCGTCGGTGCCGTGCTCCAAGCGCCAATCGTCAGGGACATGCTTATCACAAAACGCCTTGAGAAGATGAGAGTCCATAATTGCAGGAGCTCCATGACCGGATTTCATCTTGAGGTAAAGCTGAGCCCGCCGTGCACAGGTAGGATGGAAGGCAACAAAGCAGTTTTTGTTGCTGCACTGAATTGAAGCTCCCATTCGCTGCTTGCAGATGTAGCAAGTCAGCTTCCAACGGCTCCGGGGAACTTTCTCAACATCAGTCACCGGCTCCATGAGGGAGGGATTGCCAAGGGAGACCTCTGGGATCCAAATGGCACAGAGTAGATGAGACCACTTAGAGCTCGTAGTCTGCTTGAAAGCGCCCTCCGTGTTCGGGCAGAAGATACAGTTGACTGATCCCCGTCCGATCAGCTGGCACTTCCGACACAACCATTGCCCCTCGGGAATGAAGGGAACACCGTAACACTCTTGATGTACCGCGAGATCACAACCATCGCAGAATACAATAGCATTGGAGTTTTCGCAATCGCCATCGTCACAGATAGCGCATTTACTGTCTTGTTCCTCGCCCGGAGCAGTTGTTTCTCCATTCACGGCTGCTGCGGAGCTTGACCGGGGGCGATGTGTCTGCGGAGGCTTCGGGTTCGGCTTCGGTATACGCTTTTCCAGAGTATGCCACTCTTTCTCGATTTTCGTCATGGTAATCTCAAAGACAGCCGGTTTGATAGGCTCCAACTGCTCTTCCCTTCGCTTCGCATTGTAGTCTTCCAGCCATTTCTCGTCTTGCTCATCCATGTCATATTCAACTCTGCCAACGGATGCATTGACTTCTCCCTCGGTGGTGGGCGGGTTGATAATATCCAGATCATCCTCCTGCGCCCCCTCAGTCATACGGATCATCTGCCGCTCATGACGGACGAAAAGATCGCTTTCTTGGTAGCCCACACTCGCCATCGTCCGGTCCACGTAGTTCTGCTGGCCAACCCCTGGCTGATCATAGAAGACAAACGGATCCCGCAACCGGAACGAAGGCCTGGGGAGAGTGAGCCTCTCACGGGGGTTTGGACCCGGTGGCGGCACAGCTTTCGGCTGAGGAGTGATACCAAGGGCATTCAGAATAGCCTCAGGACGACGGGGAGGACGACCTGGTTTGCGCTTGATAGGTGAAGGAGATGCGCCACTGGTATGCAGCTTGATAAGCTCCGCTAACGGATCCTTGCTCCCATTAATATCGATACCGTTCAACTGCAATATCTCCGTAATGGGTGTCGACGGAGCCGGACGATCTACTTCCTCTGCGTTGAAAACTGCAATTTTGGCATCGATATCCAAGTCCGGGTGGAACTCCTCCCAACCGCGCTCCTCACGCGGCTTGTACCCGTCTCCCTGCTGTAGGGCCAAAGCGGCGGCGGTCGACGAGCCATAGCGACCACGACTCTGCGACTTGTCCCTTCTCAGACGAGCCGAGGGGGGAGTTGTGGGAACAAGGGGCGGCGGTGGCGGCGGAGGGAGGAGGACAGGTTGAGGTTGGGGTTCAGGCTCAGGCTCTGGCTCGGATTCAGGTTCAGGTTCAGGCTCTGGCTCGGATTCAGGTTCAGGTTCAGGTTCAGGTTCAGGTGCATGTTCGGGCGCAGGTTCGGGTGCAGGGCGACTTCGCGAGGACGAGCTCCGTCTGATGGGGGTTCGTTTGATCTTGGGAGGTTCGTCCACATCGATTTCGACATATCTTCCTCCACCTCCTGGTCCTCCGGGAATGTATCTTCGTTTCTTGAGAGGGGGACCTTCGATGGCTTTAGGGTCTGGTCCCTTGAGGGTAACTTTCGGGCCCTTTCGCGAGGCCCTGCCGGCCGACAAGCGATATTTTGATGAAGAATACGGCGCCATCCTAAAGAAAGTTCATGAAATGGCAGAGACTAGACGGAGGTAGCTTAATAAAGCGTCCCTGAATGGCGGTTCGTTGAGGTCGCCGCTGAGGCTCAAGTTTCAAATGTAAAGATTCCAGGCCGCGCCGTGCTTTGCAGAGAAAACAAATCAAACAACATAGAAGCGCAACTCATGACTTGAAGAGTGCACGGAATGAATAGCAACAGCAGTAAATAGAAGGCTCCACGGCCATGACGGGCGACGGCGAGGGGCGACGCGACGGCAGCTGGACGTCCGCAATCCACTACTGTCAATGTCTTGGCGCTAAGCCGCCCTGGGCTAGCCAGGGCGGAGACTCCACCCCGATCAGATATTCCCAAGCAACGCGGAGCTTATCCATCATTCTCACTTACCTCGACGACGGAGCAATCAGCTTGTCCCAGGATGAGTGGTCCCGGTGAAGAACGGTATGCATCCCCGTTCCAAATTCTATTTCGAGTTAAACAAGCCAGATCCTCACTGACAGTTGCACCTCTAGATGGCGCGGAGGTCGTCCGTACGATCAAAACCGCCAGTCGGGACAGAGACACTCTAACTCGAGGAACATGGGCGCTCACAGCGGGAATCGCGGCGGACAGAGCTCAGCTCCTTGGACGGATTCTCGGGAGCAATTTGTCACCGGGCCGTCTCAGGAGCAGCACGTTCCTGTGCGCGGGTTCAATTCCGCAGAGTTGAAAGCAGCTCTACAGAGAGGTAAGGCATTCTCTAGTCATCTACTCCATTCTCTAGGATTTACTAACTCTCTCTGGGGTATCTTTAGGCCCAGGAGGTAATACCCGTCCATCCAGCCGGAACCTACATGTCCGCCACGAGCAGAAGAGTCGCTGACCACCCGCACCAGAGCCCAAGCCTTTCTTCTACAGACCAAGTGGAAAAGATGCAAACAGCAACCGTGCTAGCGGACCCTGGGGGTCAAAGCGTACGTTATCCTTCCATCGATCCGTCACACTCTTAGTTCAACGCTGTTAACACACGGGCAGCCAACACGATGGCAAACGGCAAGGACTTCTTTCTCGAGCTTCGCAAGCAGGTGACAGCGTTGCGCCAGGGAGCTACGGTTGCTGGAGGTTGATTTCCAAAGGAGCAGTATTGCTCTAAGGCGAAGAAACAACACACGGGGGTGATACCGTTGTAAAGCCGACTCCGAAGCAAGGCTTCAGGGGCCTCGGTCCACGAGGAAGAAGTGAGGATATGCTGGCTGCTGCTGGCTTTTGCTGATTATCGCCACACTGAGCGCACCGGTCAGTGTAGTTGATGCTGCAAGCGAACTCGGGGTATGCTTTAGGAATTGGGTAGTCCACTACTTCCTGTGGCATCTTCTCCTGTTGTACTGCTGGTGGCTATGATATGAACATATTCAAGAAAAGTATATTCAAGACAAGGATATCGAGAAAATCTCCATAATCCACACATTGGTCTATAAAATTTACTGTACAGAAAAAAAATGCAACGTATGGTACAGTAGAGAGCAGTCAAGTATACAGTATCCTTGCCTTACTTTATCATCCACCCGTCAGCGCCCAAAAGACCGCCATCCTCAGCACGCGGATCAAGAGCCCACTTCCTAAGAGCCCTACCACCGAGATCCGTGCTGAAGCCTGCCTCGAACATCTCGATGCCAGCCCAGCCAATCATGGCCGCATTGTCAGTACACAAGTACGGCGGCGGCGCAACAATCTCAACATGTCGGAACCCGCGGACATCAAGGAACGACCGCAGCACAGCCATCAGAAACCTATTAGCCGCGACTCCACCGCTAATAACGAGAGTTTTGACCTCTGGGACACCCTTGTTCCGCGCTTTCTGCTGCAGCTCCTCAAGAGCGATGATCGTACGCGAACCAAGATGCTCAAAGCAGACGCGCATCGCCTCATGCGCCAGAGCAACTCGCTCCTCATCAGAGACGTCCTCGCCGGCTGTCTTCTTCGCCCCCATCAGTTTTGTGATCATGCTCGGCAAAAACGAGAAGCTGAACTGCAGCTGCCGGGTATTGGCGAATGGAGACGTGAGGGTCCAGCCCCACGGACTTGGTTGCTTGATCAGCTCCTCGCCTCGGGTCTTGGGAGCACAGTAGCTGCTCCAGTCTGCACTGCCGCCGGGGAAGGCAAACTGTTCCAGCAGTTTGCCGTACATTGTAGTTTTGGCTTCCTTGAGAACAGAGGTTGGGAGAATCTCTCGCGCTGCTTTATCAAGAGATTCGCCGATCGCGATATCCGCAGTCGAGGCCATGATCGTATGGTCTGTGATAGAGGTAGACTCGACGAGCATTGAATGACCACCGGAGACAAGTATAGACAGGAAGGGAAACTCGGGGGTTAGGGGTTGGTTGGTAGAGGCGACATCGCTGTCATGTTGCGCTCGGCTCATGGCGGAAACAAGTCGAGGAGTCAGGAGATGAGCTTGCATATGATGGACGCCGATAAACGGGATCTGCCACGCGACAGACAGGCCTTTAGCTGTATCGAGTCCAGTGAAGAGGTTCGCACGCATCCCAGGCCCGCGGGTGGCCGAGACGAAATCCGGCTTGCGCCGTTGAGAGCCATCTGACAGTTTTATCAATTTCGATCTATCTTCGCCATCTTCTGATACTGATGGTAAGTGCTGGAGCGCCTTATGGACGAGTTTGGCCAGATTCTCTTGATGCGATTCAAGTGCTAAAATTGGGTGAATGCCTCGATATTCCCTGGTATCTGCCGTCACATTCTCGAGGAAATGAATTCTCGCGGAAGCATCTCTGGATCGATCATTTTTCTCGATGATCGCAACTGATGTGTCGTCGCTAGAAGGAGGACAAAAATGAGCGAAATCCAGACTGGTGTAGTAGTCCGACGGTAGCAAGGAGACTTACCATGACGTTTCAATGGCGAGGGTAAGAAGTCCTCGATTGCGGGCTGTCTGAATAACTTTTGAAGCACTGCATATTCTCCCACGGAGGAGGGCAGATGCAGATCTCGAAATCAGCATTGAGAGTTGTGTCGAAACTGGTTCTTTGGCAGCATGGCATTTGAAGTTGCGCTGGGAAAAACATTCCCGGAACCCGCACGGACTATCGAAGCCCTGGAATACAGCCCTAAACAAATATAAGGTATACTCAGCATACAGAGTAGAGACAGGATATCTACATACCACAATGTGCTGCCCTCAGATTAGGTGTTGATAACATGCTCTGGGCTGTAAAAATAGAGTAACGATGTCCACCTACGTTGGTCTACGTCCTACAATCTACACTTCACCATTGTTCCATTACAACAAACACTTCGGTCATAAAAAATGCCTTTGGATCATATCATCACGTCATAAGCCATAATAGTATCTATATACACACTGATTCAGGGGTTGTCTCTCTCGCTGAGATCTCATCCGAGTCAGAATCATCGAATCCAAGCGTTGCACAGACAATGCAAAATTCTGGATTATTGCGACGATCCCAAAGTCGGAGCTGGGCGCAGACGCCAGAAAATATGCCGTCTCCGGGAACCCAACTCTCGACCTTAAGGTCTGGGTTTTGGCAGATCTGGTGTTGAAATTGACATCGTACCACGTCGTTAGACCTCTCATTCACGCACCATCCAGCGTCGCTCTTCTTTTGACAGTTTCTTGTATGTGCCGTAATACTCCTCAGGGTTCTCGATTGGCGTCACGCAGTGTACGGTAGGAGTACCCTGGAATTGGATTCGCTTCTCGGCGTGGCTGGTTGCACTGGCCACGGGCTGCTTCTTGAGGATGCTCTTTGATTTACACGAATTGGTGTAATTGTATGATTGCGCTTGAATACTCGAGAAACGCTTTCCGCCCGGGCTTGGGGGAACCGGCGAGATTGGCGTGCGGGGAAAAGGACCGGGAGACTTGAGCGATAATGAAGGACGAGTAAGACTCTGCGCGGTCGAAGTGACAACGGACAGCTTGGGTCTCATATTGACGGTAGTGTTTGGTGAAAGATTAACAGAAGGTGACTGTTGAGCCTTGACGGAGTATGGTTGAGCGAGACGGGCAACTTGAGCTGAAGACTTTGATCAACAGAGTCTTCGCAAGATGCAAGTATGTAGAAAGTGACTATTATTGACGAAGTGTAGATCCAAAATAAGTAGGCAAAAGATAGTAAATAATGTTTGGACCAGCCAAACAAACCCCGTCTGGGACGAAAATAGAACAGAAGGACAAAAACGACAAACTGAGACGGAGAGTGTCTGAGGAAGAGAGAGATTCGCAGCAACCCAGGGGTACTGCGCGGCTATATAGTCGCCCAGTGCCCAGCAAGGACATGAGATTGGGACGGAGGAGAAAAGAGGGGAAAAGAGAAGAGCGAAAAAGGTGACTAGGGGGGTTGGGATGTTGACCGCGGGCAGCCAATGATCATCACCACCTCATCGTCCTAAGCGCCAGACCCTGCAGCCAACGCACACCAAAAACCCATCACACTTGAGACGGGATTAGTCGCATTGTAAGTAACAAATCATGGGCTGATTGCGGCGGTGGAAATGCTCTGAAGGTTTTTACATTGACGAATGGGAGGTCTATCCCGTCGACCCCAGCTCAGCACTCTGGCGAGGTAAGTATAGAGCGAGATTCCAGGTACGATTAAAGCCAAATGCCTGACCCTTGCTTAGTGATATTGATTCAGATCTCTGCAGAAACTGAGTCAATGAATGACCATGTTGTGCGGTCAACCATGAGACATGACACTTGCCTCCAGGGGCTCGACCGTACAAGCTCCTCCCTCAGCAGAACTGCAGCTAGACGATCACTGGCCTGACTCGGTTGGATCATCCTTCGTCAGGCTCGACATACTACCTAGCCAATCTATTGGTCGTCGCTGGGTTACAGCTCCTGGGCTACGGAAGGCTATTGGAAAGCCTGATGGTAAAGTTACCAATGATCGCAGAAACCGGGCGGTCCTGCACCACAGTCACAATCTGTCTGCAGCCATGATGTTCTCTTCACTCAGAGACTTCTCTCCGTGCCCGTCACCCTCACGTTTTCAGCACAATCACACTGCAGTGTCAACTTAGAATGGTGAGCTCAACCCGGCCGACATCTTGGTAGTGTGAAATTTCAGGAATGTACGACTTGGTCGGCAATCTTGAGTTTCCTCAGAGCCATCCCAAGTACCCTTCACGGAACAAATCGTACAAACAATGTCCAATCTGAACGCATCGTAGATTTGGCAGTATCCTGCGTGCCCAAGGAGAAAGGCAAGAAGGCGAAGAAAAGTACTTGGTAGGAGTCAATGGCTCTTGTTTGACCCGTCCCATGAAAGTAAGAGAGACAGCAATCGCAATCTTAGAAAGGGAAGGATGACCAACTGACGAGTCAATATTCTTACTCCGTCCATTGGTCGACTTTCCGCTTCCATCCATCTTCTGGGTTTACCACTCCTGCTTACTGAGCAGAAAAGGCAGTCGTTGGAAGCTCATGATATGAGTGTCTTTGTAGGTAAGTGAGAAATGTGCAGCACATTGATCATTATCACATCATCACACAAGGTCAAAGGTGCATTATAGGTAATCCTTGATGCAGATAGAGGAAGACATCCATATTGATAGCAGCAAAGTACCAACCTCTTGAGCTCGGGCTTGCCATCACTTTGATTTACAGTCCTCATTCCTTGCATTTTGTCCAGAACAATACCTTACCTAGTGCTGAACTTCTGTATGAGCATCCTGCCATGCCTTGTATCCATGTATCTCTTCCTTTTTGCAGCGGGCCCGGAGGTTATGTCTAGTTATAACCAATTGGTTGCACAAAAGTCCTGCGTAGTGCGCAAGACTGCGATAACAATACTAGATGCAGGACGTGCCTGCACAGCGCCTGACAGGCTAGGGAAGCAGACAAGTGGGCTGTCTCTTACCCATAACGGCGCCTCAATAAGTACTCAGGCCAGTGATTTAACGATTGCCAATGCTTGATTCAGCCCATGTGGCATAAATTCGTCTGCAGTGCTGTCAATACCGTGGAAGTCCCTCCGGACACTGAGTGTCTTCCATTCCTCCTCCCACTTCGGAATTTCGCGCAGCTTTGAAAGAACTCGGTCGTCATCTGTCCTGCAATCACGGGGAATGATATCCCCATCAAGGACAGAAACATATACGATCCGTGAATTTCTCCTTATTCGATAGAGGTGATCTTTTCCTCAAGGTCTAGGGACAATACTTCCTGCTTAATTCCTCAGTAGAAGCTCCGTAAAAGAGGTAAATTCAGGATATGCCTCACCTCAACAGGTGCTGTTGTAACTGGCTGGCTGCGCAGGGGTAGGACTGAGCTGACACGCCTAGAAAAGGATGATATTAAAGACCAGATAGTAGACCAAATCTGCCAACTAAATGGGCGAGAGATGCTGAGCATGCTGACAAGATAGCTAATGTGTAGTATTCGACGATGATGCTGAGACATTGTCGGGTTCGAGACGTACAAGTCACCCCTTGGGGCAATTAGTAAACATCGTCACAGTATCACACAACGTTGAAGGTGCATTATTGTAGAGAGGTAGGTACTTGCTTAATCCAGATGGCGGAAGATACCCATGTCAACAGCAGCTGAGTACCCGGCCTGTTGAGCTCAGACTTGCCGTCACATTGATTTATGCCCTGTATCCTGTTCAGAACAACATCTTGCCGTCCAGCGCTATCCTTGGTTTTTCCACTTCTCTCTCCATTAGTTGTTTACCGCGGGTCTGGAGGTTGACGTCAGCCATAGCCAATTGGTAGCACACAACTGTCGTGTGCAAGACTGCCTGATCCGCACTGAACCGACGGATCTACAACTTAAATATCTATTAGGACTGATCACTCTTAATGATCCATGAATGAGCCACCGTGGTCACAGTTGACAGCATCATCATGGGCGCATTGAGAATTCTTCTTGAGCCCGCCGGTAAGTAGACGGCTACAACCTCCGACAATCACGACAGACAGGATTGACTGACTATTTGTGACTACAGCGATTGTGGTTATTTTTACCGCTGGCACCCTAATCAATCGTCGCAAGGATACCAAGTTCTCGGAGACACCTTGCGTTGAGACACCGTTGCTCGAGGACGAAGACTGCGAGGATCTAAAACCAAGGAGGTCATCCAAGGGTCGCCCCAACATCCAAACACGAATTCTCGCCCGTTTTCCGTTTCTTATAGAGATATGGTATTGGCTACTTACATACTGGGTACGGCATCATTCTTTCTCTTCCTTGATCTGTGACATGAGAACGATCTGACAGTAGCCCAGGTCTACCAAGGATTGCGCGCGATCTCTGCCCGAGCGATCAGCGACAACGAACCCGTTTTTGAGAGGGCCAGGCACCATGCACATCAGATCCTCAGTCTAGAACATTTCTTCCATTTAGATGTCGAGCTACGGGTTCAACGGTTCGTCCTCAATCGCGCGCCGTGGCTAACGGCTGTTCTCGCTCGAGTATACTACTCGCACATTGTATTAGGCGTCATCTTCCTCGTCTATGGCTATACCTTTTTCCAAAGGGAAAAGTACCAAGGTGTCCGCCGCACTCTGGCTCTCGAAAACGTGATAGCGTTTACGATCCTCACTCTTTGGCGATGTAGTCCGCCGCGACTACTGCCGGAGGAGTACGGCTTCGTCGATATGCTGCGTGATAACAGTGCCGGATCCGCTTGGACACAAAACAAGTTCCAGCTCACAATTGCGGCAATGCCTTCGCTGCATTTTGGTAACTCTGTTTTTGTTGCTCTATGCTTGTTGCGATACAGCCCACACTGTTTCATTCACGTGGTTGCGCCGCTCTGGCCCATGATGATGGGCGTAACAATTATCGCAACGGCTAACCACTTTCTTTTGGATGCCCTCGTCGGTGCCTGTGTGGCCTTGACGGCATATAGATTCAATCATGCCATGTTGGTTTTGTTGCCGGTGGAGCGGGTACTGTTCAAGTTGCTTCGCATTGAGAAACCGGAGCAATAGTAGTTCAGAGCCAGTCGATTATATTCTTTCTTTATGCCTTAGGCAACATTATTATGAGCTCAGTCTACAGGCATGCGCCGCCCCCTGAAAGAATTTCAAACCAAAGCCACACAGAAGTCCATAGTTTGACCTTCAATTTGGAAATCCACGAAGGTTGAGTATATATTGTACATACATACTGGAGGACCCAGCTGACAACATTAACAGTGACATCGGACGTTTCTATAATCAGTCATACAGCGCTACAACCATCAATAGCGACTTGGCCCCAAATCTCCAGACCAAGGATGCCTGTGTACACCTACTCGCAGAATCTACAGGATCTGAACTCCAGTGGACAGTTGAATAAGGTGTTGATAGTTCAACGTTATCGATAAGCTAATGCAAACTAATGAATCGCCCTGTCTTTATGCACTACACATCATTAATCCTAGCAGACCTCACCTACCGAATCGACCAAGCGCTCCCTGCCGGTGAACTCCATCGGGGTAAATCCCGCGGGCATAGTCCTACACCTTGCCTGGTAACCAACTACCGGGAGCAGGGGTTGGGTGAGTTGTCAAACACTTATTCGGTTAAGAAAATGCGGTATATAAAATGTACAATGCATTTGCATTTGCTTCGTACTCCGCAGCCCGTACGGAGTGCCTTTTAGCAATCACACAACGTATTTCACTCTTCTCTGTCCAGCCAGAGAGTCAGTGAGCTGGAATTGGAAATTCTCCAATTCTGGACCCGCTGCACTAACTTACTCCGCACGACGACTCAGACGAGACACATCGGGCCGAATTTGTGGGCAGGGATATAAATGCGCAAGTCAGACTAGTCAGTGTGTCATGTGAAAACCTATCCCATGCTTTTCTTCCAGAAACCAGGTAGAAGAAACAAGGGATAACCTGACTCTTGGAATGGTCTTCAGTGTATGAGAGCATCATAATTCTTTGCATATTTTCCTATATTCAAGAGATCATATATACAGGCCTAGGTATAGTCATGGTTACTATTACGAGCTCACCCTCGGCCTGCGAGATCTTCTGGCGGGTTTTTCTCTAGGGTCACCTGCCTCCGATCTGGTTATCGAATCAGTGGATATCGTGCGTTCCGGAGTTTACCGTGGCTCGCCATCAGGAGTATTTTGCCCCTGGCTCGTGGCATGCGAATGGCTGCTTAGGATGAAGACATGCGTTGCTGCTATAAAAGGTCCGGTATAGATCTCGTGTGACATCCTGTACCTCTCTAGAAGATCAAAGAACACTCTAGACATTCCATGCAGACGGGAGTTGGTCAATGATCATACTGCGGAGAAGCGACTGGCCTCATGGCCTGAGGCAATGAGATGTTCGGTCCCAAGTCCGGCCACTCACCGGGTAATTTACCCATTCCGGAGGCGGTGAAGCGCTTGTTCCTTTTTCTATTTTTTTCTTTTGCTTTTTCCTATTCGCGCCTCATTCTCAAGGCACATAATCACACTCATCATTCTCTGAAGAAAAACTTTTTAGCCGGCTTATGAGAGAAAGTCAAGACAGGGTAAAAAAAGATCTCTACTTAGACAAGATAGAAGAATTTAGAATCACTTCGGATCTGCATTGTATAATTTATTATTTCAACCGCATAAGTGGCAGATCAATCTGTTGTCATCTTGCTCCCCATTTTTTTGCCCTTCTCTTCTCCCTCTTTGTCCTAGTAATTCTGTTTCTCCACACAATTTGTCTGGTCCCAACCCCTTCATAACCCCGTTCTTACCCACATTGGAGTCTCTCAGACCTCCCTTCTCTTTCGCTTCTTCTTGGATTTTGGATCGTCGAGCGAATTGGTTGCATTGGCTCAGTGATCTTTGTGTGATATTTGCATGATACAATGACCGTCAAAGAAGCTGTCAAGGAGTCGTTGCTCGGCAGCTCAAAGGAGCCGCAGCTGTCGCAACAGGTCAAGCATCATTTCTTTCACCATGCACGGAAAGATGAAAGTACTGGCGAGTTTTATATGACGGAGGATGACTTTATCAATGCTATTGCGCCAAAGCATGAGGATTATGTGAGTTTCGCGGCCCGTTTTCCCCTCTGATTCTTTGCCCATTATGCGATGTGTCATTGCGCTGGTCATCTGCGGTGAACTCCAAAATATGACTAACATCCTTGCGTTTTGCAATTGATAGCACAAAATCAAGCGCGAACATTATGGACTCCTCTTCAGAGTCGCCGACAAGCGAAGAGCCGGTAAACTCAGTCTCAGTGACTGGGCGACCTTCGAAAACCTCCTGACCAAACCCGATGCCGAATATGAGATTGCTTTCCGACTCTTCGATCTGGATGGAACGGGCACAGTGAAGTGGGACACCTTCAAGGACCTGTACAATATGAACAAGAGCAGTGACAGTATACCTTTCGATTGGAATTCGGAATGGGCTTCCTTGTACTCCGGACGGAGCAAGGCCCGGCACGACATGACATACCCCCAGTTCGCTCAGATGCTCCGAGGATTGCAGGGCGAGCGCATTCGGCAAGCTTTCCACATCTTCGACAAGGACGGTGACGGTTACATCGAGCCCGAAGATTTCCAGCGTATCATCCTCGAGACCTCGAAACACAAGCTGTCGGATTATGTCCTGGAAAACCTTCCCAGTCTGTGCAACATCTCAGCGGGCACCAAGATCTCGTACGCTACCGTTCGTGCTTTCCAGAATATCATGCGTGAGATGGATATGATCGACGTTATTGTCCGCGAAGCCACCCAGAAGAGCGAAGACGGCAAGATCACGCGCGCCGACTTTCTCAACGAAGCTGCTCGCATTACGCGATTCTCGCTTTTCACACCAATGGAAGCGGATATCCTATTCCATTTTGCTGGCCTCGATGCGCCTTCCGGCCGACTATCTCAGAAGGATTTCGCCAAGGTCGTTGATGCCTCCTGGCGTATGCCTTTGGCTCTGGCTGGACAGGCCGTCTCCACTGCAACAACCACTGCTCAAGTCGCAGCTGAAAAGACTCGGTCGGTGTTGCACAGCATTTTGGAATCGGTCCACCATTTCGCGCTTGGCAGTCTTGCAGGCGCTTTCGGCGCCTTTATGGTTTACCCCATCGATCTCGTCAAGACGCGCATGCAGAACCAACGTTCGACGCGTGTTGGCGAAAGACTGTACAACAACTCGCTTGATTGTTTCAGAAAAGTCATTCGCAATGAGGGCTTCCTAGGCCTGTATTCCGGTGTCCTGCCTCAATTGATCGGTGTTGCTCCGGAAAAGGCCATCAAGCTGACCGTGAACGATCTCGTGCGTGGCCACTTCGCCAACAAGGAAAACGGCAAGATCTGGTATCCCTATGAGATTCTCGCGGGTGGTACTGCTGGTGGTTGCCAAGTTGTAGGTTTTACTGAGATTTCACCTACTTTGGAAGCCTCTTCTAATTCGCCCTTTTATTAGATCTTCACAAATCCCCTCGAGATTGTCAAGATCCGCCTGCAGGTTCAGGGTGAGATTGCCAAGACTGTCGAGGGGGCTCCCCGTCGCTCGGCCATGTGGATTGTGAAGAATCTGGGTCTGGTGGGATTGTACAAGGGTGCCAGCGCTTGCTTGCTCCGTGATGGTAAGAACGAACCGACGCGCTCCTTCTGCTTTTGTGAATATGCTTTCTGACGTTTTCGGACTTTAGTTCCCTTCTCTGCCATCTACTTCCCCACCTATGCCCATCTGAAGAGCGACGTTTTCGGCGAGACTCAAACACAGAGACTTGGCATTGTGCAGCTGCTCACTGCCGGTGCCATTGCCGGTATGCCGGCCGCTTATCTTACCACACCCTGCGATGTTATCAAGACCCGTCTGCAAGTTGAAGCTCGCAAAGGAGACGTTCGTTACAATGGCTTGCGCCATTGTGCGGCCACGATCTGGAGGGACGAAGGTTTCAAGGCCTTCTTCAAGGGTGGTCCTGCTCGTATCGTTCGTTCGTCGCCGCAGTTCGGTTTCACACTGGCTGCCTATGAACTGCTGCAGAACTGGCTTCCCATGCCCGGCACTCACGTTGACGTCACTCCCTCGGGACATGTTGAGCCCGGCGTTGGGTTACAGAGTGCCAAAGCACCTCTCCCTTATCTGAGGTCAAGAAACGCTCTGAAGCTCCTCCTCGACCTCGACGAGAACATTGGCCGCGTCTATATCCCCCAGGCCGATAAATGGCCCAAATTCCTTCAGCCTTCGAAGCAATGATTTGCATTGTCTTGTTTTCATAGCGATCATTTTGGCTTTCTTCTGTCACCTGCGTTGACTTGAAAATATATTATGTTTCTGTATTTTCACAACCGCCTTTCTTGATTCACGTGGGTTTGGTTTGGTTTGGCCGGGCGACGATCACGCATAATTTTTCTTCTCTTTTGTTCATACAGGAACCAGATTACATTGCACATGTACCAAAAGCAGATAGACTCGAAAATGGTCATATCATTCCTAGCATGCAACCGTATTCGATATCAAAGCATGAGATCTTGCCTACTTGTATCTAGAGAGAGCTTCATCACGTGAGAGATAAACCACAATCTGATTCGGATAGGCCATCGCAGAAAACTTGAACATATCCTGCTCTGGAATTTGGGGGTTCTATCATGAGTCATATTCGTCCTGTTGCCTGCAAGACCCTCGATGGTTGCCTGTTGAGTTCCCCAGATTGGCGATAAGATAAGCTGTTGAGATCGGAGCACGTGATTATATCCACTTTTTTTTTTCATAGACTGCAGTGGACCCGCCGCAACCTTTCTTTTCTCTCTTTTTCTCTTCCCCCCCTCCCTGGTTTTCACCAGGAGGGCTACCATTGAATAACACTGTCTGATCTCAATTAGCCAAGATGAAGTACGTTCTGGTCTCTGGAGGTAAAGAACGTCGCGTATCTTTCTCCCATGACGCTCTCGCTGATTCTTGGCAGGTGTCATTTCTGGTGTCGGCAAAGGCATCATCGCAAGCAGTTGCGGGTTGCTGCTCAAGACTGCCGGTCTGGCCGTCTCGAGTATCAAGATTGATCCATACCTCAATCCGGATGCCGGTCTTATGAACCCTCTAGAGTTGGTCTCACCTACTATGCTCGCCTGATCTCTTTGGAATTGACGTTGACGCATCAAAAGACACGGAGAATGTTTCGTTCTCGATGACGGAGGTGAGGCCGACCTCGACCTCGGAAACTACGAGCGCTACCTCGGAGTCACTCTCGGGCGGGATAACAATATCACCACTGGAAAGATTTACCAACACGTCATTGAGAAGGAGCGTCGCGGCGATTACCTGGGAAAGACAGTTCAGATCGTGCCACACCTCACCAATGAGATTCAGAACTGGGTGGAACGGGTTGCCAAGGTTCCCGTGGACGAGTCAGGGCGGGAACCCGACGTTTGCATCATCGAGTTGGGCGGTACTGTTGGAGACATTGAGAGTGCACCTTTTGTTGAGGCTATGAGTCAGCTCCAACGACGGGCCGGCAAGAACAACTTCTTGGAAATTCACGTCAGCTACGTCCCTCTGATCGGCTCGGAGCAAAAGACCAAGCCTACCCAGAGAGCCATCAGCGATGTTCGCAGCGCTGGTCTCAGGCCGGATCTGATCGCCTGCCGCTGCGAAACCCCTCTTGAAGAGGGAACTATCCAGAAAATCGCCAATGCCTGCCAGGTGGAGCGGGATCAGGTTGTCGGAGTTCACAACGTGTCGACCACTTATCAGGTGCCCATTCTCCTGGAGAAGCAGGGCTTCCTCAACACCATCAAAGAACTGTTGCACATTGACTCGGTTCCGAAGGATCCCAAGCTCATCGAGCAGGGCAAGGTGATTTGGCAAGAATGGCAGGGTCTTGCCATTAGCCAGGACCGCGTCTTTGAGACTGTCTCTATCGCCCTTGTCGGCAAGTACACCACTTTGCATGATTCATATATGAGCGTGAGCAAGGCGCTCGAGCACTCTGCCATGCACTGCAAGAAGAAGCTCGATCTGATCTGGGTCGAGTCCTCTCACCTGGAGGACGAGCACAAGGATACAAACCCGGCCGAGTACTACAAGGCGTGGCACTCGGTTTCAACCGCCAACGGAATTTTGGTTCCTGTAAGATTTCTCCGTATATACCTTACGAATGACTCTAACTTTATATGTAGGGCGGTTTCGGCGAGCGTGGTACCGAGGGTATGATCAAGAGTGCCCAATGGGCCCGTACGAACAATGTTCCTTACTTGGGTGTTTGCCTGGGTATGCAAGTGGCCGTCATTGAGTACGCTCGCAATGTGTGCGGGTTGACTGGGGCTGGCAGCGAGGAGTTCCACGAGAACTGCGAGCATTCTGCGATCGTTTACATGCCTGAGATCGACAAGACCAAGATGGGAGGCACCATGCGGCTCGGCAAGCGGGCCACCCACTTTCAGCCCGGCACCGAGTGGTCCCGTCTGCGGAAGCTATACGGAGACAAGCAGGAGATCTGGGAAAGACACCGTCACCGTTACGAGGTTAACCCCGAACTCGTCGACCAGCTTGAACAGGCTGGTCTGACCTTTGTCGGCAAGGACGACAGCGGCAAGCGTATGGAGATCGTCGAACTCAAGGACCACAAGTGGTTCGTCGGTGTGCAATTCCACCCCGAGTATCTCAGCCGAGTCCTTGCGCCCAGCAAGACCTTCCTGGGCTTCTTCGCTGCCTCTGCCGGCTGCCTTGAGGAGATCACCGAGATGTTCAAGGGTCGCCACGATCTGAGCCATCGAGGGATGAAAATCCCCCTCCATTAGATTGGCTGGCGGGGCTGGCGTGGCTGATGCCGGTAAAAGGCATTGGCTAGTTGTTGGGTTGGTTATTTCAATTTTCGTTTCTGGCGTTTGGCAGACTAAAGAGTAACGTGGATCATATGTATGGGAGAGAGATAGAACTATGCCTGCATTGCTGGAATGGGCCCAGCTAGTATAATCGCTACAAATGATACTCCGTCCTCGCGTCATGATCGCGTTGGCAATCATCCTCAGTCCCAGCTACCACACCATAGACCTCTAAAATCACCATACCAGTAGAACCTCCCCACCAACGCGACCCCGTCGATCACGGAGTCCTCCGTACAAGTATATAGCGCCAAGACCGTCTCACACCCATCAACATCACGACACGCGTCTCAAGCAAATATAAACCACTTGTACAGTACGAGAACCCACAACCATATCCAGGCTGAAATTGTGCAAAACCCAGACAAATGGCCACTCTCAACATCACAGACCCCGACGAATTCCTCGCCGAATTCAACCAAGCCCTCAACGCCGCGCCCTCGTCGCGACTACGGCATATCATCCGCGACGTATGCCGGCTTCTCCCGGCTGCTCTCCCAATCGTCTCTGATTGCCTCCTCGTGAGCGAGGACCAGGTCCCAGCGCCGCATGATCCCGACTCTAACTCCGGATCTGACTCTGGAGCAAGCGTCGACACATCAACGCCAGACGACGGGATCCTGGAAGTCAAGCCCAAGCTCGCTCGCCTCAAGTCGAAGAAGAGAGCTAGAGTCCGGGCGCGGTACGCGGTGTGCGCGAACTGCGGGGTTGAGTACGACGTTACGAAGAACACTAGGGAGAGTTGTTGTTTTCATCCTGGTATGATTTTCTCCGTTGATCTGTCCATGGCTAAAAGCCCGGGGGGGGGGGGGGGGGGGGGGGGTGGGGGTGACGATGCTAATGTTTGTTACAGAGGAGGCTGTAGCGGATGAGGAGTATTGGGAGCGTATTGATCTCTGGGAGGATGAGGAGATTGACACGGAGGAGAGCCGGGAGGATCATCCCGAGGGGTTTGTGTATGGCTGTTGTGGGAGGCATTATGGGGAGGAAGAGTGTAAAGTTGGTTGGCATGAGGAGGAGTCGGGGGGTCGGAAGAGGAGGAGGCTTTGATCTTCGGGTTTCAGGGAATTAGAGGATACGGGGTTTTGTATCGTTGGGATTGTTTTAGTTTTACTATTGGGGTGAGATGATGGGATTTATATTGGTTGAAGACCTGAGGCTATGACAAATACTCTCTGATATTCGCCAGGTTGAAAATAGCAGACACGCCGTACCTCGCTGCCTCATTCGTCGTAATCCAAGCAGCCTCCTCTCCATGCGTAAAGTACTCAGGCGGCGCAGTCTCAACCACCCTCCAGTCATGACCCTCCGTATACCCGTCTGTATGGAAGAACTGGTCCCAAGCCGCGCGAGCCAGCTCCTCGCTCTTCAGCTGAACGGCCGCAAACGCCGTAAGCGTAGAATGACTCTGTCGCCAGGTTGCATGATCCGGGAACTCGAACCCGAATTCCCTACGCTGGACTTCAGCGCCCCCGTTATACGCTTTGCAGTAGGACAGCCATACGGCCATAAACCTGTCTACGGTGGCGGGGTGCGCATCACGCGCGTAGTCAAGAAGCTCCGCAAATGTCTCGGGGAACCCGAAGAGCATGGAGAGGTGGGAGATGGCGTACTCTGGCGTTGGCGGGGGACATTCTCGGATCTCGCCCGTGGTTGGGTTCAGTAGGATGGCATTATTGCCGATGCCGTGTTTGAGGCCAGCGATGCCGTCTAGCAACTTGATCAAGAGATCGCGGCAGTGCTCCCAGCCGTCCGTCCGTCGTTCCCAGGCCGTCAACCATGCTGTCGCAAGGGCATCACAATCAAGACCGATGTTCGTCATGGCGAAGCCCTCGGGGACATCGGCGTGCGCTTGCACCTTACGGTGCGAGTCGAGAGTCAGCAGGGCGGATTGGCAATCCTGCAGCTCGGAAATCAAATCGTCTGTGCGCTCATCGCCAGTCAGGTAATAGTATATCCGTCTGTAGAGCACGTTCGAGATCCGCAGCTGCTTCGAACTGTCGCTGAAATGCTGGACGCCATGCCGCGTGCCGAAACCTTTGAACTGGCCTGCATGGTAGATGTCTACCTCGCTGGTGTGCCGGGTCATTGCCTCGGCTGTCTTGAACACGTCCGCGCGTCCGGTATGCAGGAAGTACAGCCATAGCCAGAGATCGGTCGACAGCTCCGAGTTGTCCCAGGCGAAGCCGCCTATGTCGTAGCGCCAGGCGTGCCGGTAGGGGTCGTACGTGTGCTGCACGTCTCCGTGGTCCCAGAAGCCGTACCAGCGGTGTTGCTCTATCTGTCTTTGGTAGTGGTTGAATAAAATGTCGAGGTTGTGCTCGATGGCAGCTTCTTGCGGGGATGCGGGCTGCCTGTGGGCGGGTGACCAGCAGCCGTGGAAGACACCAGTGGAATGCATGTACTCGGCTGTCGGGACGAGACGGGGAGGGTTTCTCACAAGACTCGAGAAAGAGCTGAGTTCCTGGTTGGAAGGGGTGGATGTGTACGGCCTGAGGAAGAATTGGTTCGTCCTTCCGATACCGTTGGCAGTGGCAAAGCCTGGTTCGTAGTCTTCGTATGTGACGTCGAGTGCATGCAGCTGTTTCTCGTACGAGTCCAGCCCGAGTCCATCATGGTATGGGGAAGTATCGAGCGGTTCTGCTAGGGGAGAGTAGAGCCACACGGTGATCGCACCCTCGCCCTGGGTGAGCTCGGTCAGGTCAAGCTGAGTCGGGTACCGTTCCCAGAAGTCGGACATGCCAACGGCTATGCCGCCGTGTCTGGCTGAGCCTAGATACACGGCTCCATCTGCGCGACCACCACCGGTTACCTTGACCCAGGAGCAGCCTTTTTTTGTTCGTTTCTTGATGGTGAAGCCGTCGGAGGATAGCTGCGAGAGGGTGTAGGAGTCAAATGACGGAATGTATGAGAGACCTTGTTGGAGATCAGTTTTGGACCACTCTTCTTGCTTGAGAGTGACAGCTCGTCCTGCTGTTTGATCAATCCTGTTGGTGACTGTTGGGCCGTGTCGTAATCCAGACAGTCCTTGGACTTCTTCCCTGAGGATGCCTCCGTTGGAACCTGCAAAACGAACATGCCGGTTATAAAGCTCCGTATTCTCCAAAGGGACTGAGAAACGAATTCCCAGTGAGGTTAGAGGTTCATCTGCGTCCAGATCGTGGACGAAAGAGTGCAGGATCTTGATGGGTAGCGCGTCAGAGTATACATAGACACGCACATCGAACGGAAGGTGCTCAGCGTCAGGGGAAGCCATCGTCCCGGAGACTTTGATGACTGCTCTGGAGTTGGTAGCATTCTCAACCGCAACCTTGCTGACAATGGTCGAATGCTCCTCGTTATTGACGGACGCGACAAGAGTGGCGCCAGAACACAGAGCGCGGCCATGCAGCGAAAGGCTTTCGAACAAGGACGAGTTTCCTGAGCTTGCAAATTTGACCTGCAGTCCAAGGCGCGTAGTGACTGTGATACTATCTCCTTCCTCGATGACAACACCGGCGTCCTTGTCCTTAGATTTGGAGGAGCCTTTGACAGTGTACTCCTCGCTGTACCCAACATGCCCACTGACCGAGTGTGCCGTCCATTTGAGCGACCCGTCTGCCCAGTAGGCAATTTCTCTCGAATCTGTAGCGTATTCCCGACCATTCTCTTCAATGACAAAAGACTGACCAGGCTGATACAGACCTTTTGGCCAAGGCATACCAAAGGAGATCCCACCTGACAGCGAATCATGACCATAGTCGGTCAGCCACCGCACATTGCCCGGCATTGTTGCTTAACGGTCGGTGGATGATGGATACTTTTGACTCTGTTAATATGAAACGGCCATCTGGGCGAGACAAAGAGGTGGGCCACACTCACTTGTAGTCGTCCCGATCGGCCTATTTCCTCCCGAGAAGGGAACCAATCTCCGCGGCCCCTCTCGTTGATATAGGATGACGCGCCTTTAGCTTTTGTGGCTCATTCTTTTCGGTGTTTTACTGTGCCGAAGGGCGTTTCCCCGCAAAGTCTATCATTGAGTGGTTCCACTTCCCCGGATTTCCACCATAGAGAAGGGGCGAAAGCCACAAGGAATGGGAAAGAGAAGGGCCACAAGCTTCTACTTGGCGAGGCTTATAAAGATGGCCTCCCTTGGCTTCTTCTTGGACAAGGATCATGCTCAATTGACATTTTCGCGCGTACAAAATGGCCGCTCATCAGGAAGACGTGACAGATCACACCACCGTTACGGTGATCCGGGAGAAAGACGAGGAACACTATGTCGTCGCCGAAGACATTGTCAAGGGCGCGCAAAAAGCCACGGACGATGAGCACGCCATGGGCCTGATGGAGGGTCTGCGCAAGTACCCCAAGGCGGTCTTCTGGTCCATCTGGTTCTCCTCGGCGCTCATCATGGAAGGCTTCGACCATTCCTTCATCAGCGGTTTCATGGCTTTCCCGGCCTTCCAGAGAAGATACGGCGTTCTCACCAAAAACGGCTCCTACCAGATTCCAGCAAACCTCCAAGCTGCCGTCAGCAATGGAGTCAACGCTGGAGAGATTGTCGGCCTCCTGCTCAATGGTCTGCTGTGCGATTGGTTCGGCTATCGCTGGTTGATGATGGGCTCGCTCTTCCTCATGGCGTGCTTTATTTTCCTGCAATTCTTTGCAACCGACATCTACATGTACATCGGCGCCGAAGTCCTCCTGGGTCTACCCTGGGGTGTCTTCCAGACGATAACCACCACCTACGCAGCCGAGGTATGCCCCAACGTGCTGCGTCCCTACCTGACCATGCTGGTCTCGTTGGCCTGGAGTATCGGTTACCTCACGGGAACTGGTGTCCTACGTGGGTTCCTGAGCATGTCGGGCCAATGGGCGTACCGCATCCCCTTTGCGCTGCAGTGGGCTCTACCCATCCCCCTCGCCATCGGCATCTACCTCGCCCCAGAATCGCCATGGTGGCTGATCCGCAAAGGCCGCACCGAGGACGCGACCAAGTCCCTCCGCCGGCTGCGTACCAAAGACGCAAGTGAAGAGGAGATAACCGATACGCTGGCCATGATGCTACACACGGTCAAGATCGAGGACGAGATGAGCGCGTCCAGCTCCTACTGGGATCTGTTCAGGGGGGTCGACCGCCGCCGCACGGAAATCACCGTCTTCACCTACCTCATCCAGGAACTCTGCGCCCCGCTGGTGGCGTACATTGTCTATTTCCTCGAGCAGTCCGGCCTGCCTGCCTCCTCATCTTTCGACTTTGGTATCGGCGAGTATGCACTCGCCATCGTAGGAGTCTGTGTTGCCTGGTCTTTAGTCCCGCGCGTGGGACGCCGCACGCTCCTCCTGTCTGGAACCTTCTTTATGACGGTGACAACTATCCTTATCGGCTTCCTGGGGATAGTCAGCCGCAAGGCCCATCCCAAGATCGGATACGGGATTGGTACCATCTTGCTGATTGAGTACTTTGTCTTTTTCATTACTATTGGTCCCATCATCTATACCATCGTCACAGAAATCCCGTCCAACGCTCTGCGGGCAAAGAGCGTCGGTCTTGCGCGAGCGCTTTATAACGTCGCTGTCTTGGTGTATGGCCAGCTGGCGCCGCGTATGATGCAGCAGGCGGCATGGGACTGGGGAGCCAAGTGCGGGTTTTTCTTTGGGGGGATCATGGGGCTCGGTCTTGTCTGGGCGTACTTCCGGGTCCCGGAGACGAAGAACCGGACATTTGCAGAGATGGATATTTTGTTCAAGAACAAGGTTCCTGCGAGAAAGTTTCCCCAGACGAGGGTCGATCTTGCGAGCGAGGAAGTCAGAGAGGACGTCTTGTAGTTTTGTTTTAGTCAGGAATCAGTTAATGCAAGGATGTTCTTAAGGATTGCAGGAAACTATCCTACCCTCTATACGCGTAAGCTGATCTATAAGATATGATAAAGAGGATTTCGACGCTAGACAACTGTCAAACTGATTGTGGGCCATGCCACCCAGTGCAGCGAGGAGGCAACAGTCTCCTGGCAGAGGATGACATATTCACCAGGACATCACCGTGACGGAAGCCTTCCTGTTACTCAAATACGAGATGATCGTCAAGACTGTGTCTACATGGCCCTTCTCCTCTCTCATGCTGACACCTTTAGACATCCTCAACGAGCGATACTGCATCGATGAGAATGAGCCATTTTGGACCCCAACCAGTGCCGAGCATTGAACAATAAACGCACAAATCAGTAGAATTCTCAGATGCATCCAGCTATACAAATGATTCGATGAACGACAGGCCATTGTTACAATAGGGTTTACGCCTCACGGATGATCGCCACCTCATCGAGCCACATCCTCGTATTTCCCCTTGAATCAACGTCTCGGATCTGGAGATGCTGTGGAGAACCCTGCAATGATATGACAAACCCGACACGTGAATGGGGCCGTCTATGAATATCATCATGCCGCACCTCGTATCCCTCCTTCATTTGCTGATCGGTCATGGGCCAAGGAAGAAAATCAGGCATGTTGCCCCAAACTGATGTTTCTATACTTGGAGTCAAAGTTAATCCTATACTTGGTGTCAAAGTCATTCAGCCGCAGTCTGCAAGGAGGTGAATGGCTTCGATATCCCGGTTTTGGATGAATACGAGGGGTGCGCTACCCAACGTCACGTCGATGAAAATCTTAGTCAAGGCATCACGCATTCGGCAAGGAATCTAGGAGACTTGGATACTGAATCAAGGCACTTCATGAGGGTGAATACGAGAGGCTACACATACCCGATGGAGTAATGATTGCTGGCAGAGAGGTATAAAGGCAGGACCTCGACGAGGGCATTCTCGCCTTCTCATACAACCAACAACCTACTCTATCAAATCTACTGTACACTCTCCAAAGCATCAAGGTGCGGACACCTTCAAGTCCAAATCTCCTACCAAACTAACGCCACAAAGAACACAATGCGTTTCACCAACATCGTTACCCCCGTCCTGGCGAGCGCCACCCTAGCCTCCGCCCTCTGCCACAACTCCATCTCCTGTCTCCTCGGCGGCGACTCGACCTGCAACAACGTCTGCGTGCGCCAGGGTAACCCCCACGGCGGCCGCTGCCTCCCCCGCGACGGCTGCCCCGGCTACGACATCTGCGCCTGCTACCCAAACAACAAGCGCAGCGACGAGGTGATTGACGGAGACGAGCCCCTGCGCGAGGTCCTGAACAACATGGGTATCGAGGATGTTGTGAAGAAGGTGGATGCCAGAGATGCTGCCTTGGATAAGCGCAGTATCTGCTGCAGCTTCCCCGACCCTTGGGGAGGACTCTGCTGTGAGGATCACTGCAGCTACATCGGGAAGCCTGGTGGACAGTGCTCCGACAAGAAAGTTTGCACCTGCAACTAGGTAGTTATCTGAGTATGTGCTGGTTGATGAAGGAGCTGGATGCTACTTTTCATTAGGGTTTGTTTGATCAGATTGGAGTTTCTCGTCCCACGTTCGCTAAATTATTGAATGGACTTCGTATATTGATTGCCTGATTAGGAAATTTTGTAAAAATCAGCGGACAAAGTACTGTGCTAGTAGTAGAGTAACTGGTTACATGCGCTTCGCGGAATATGAGGACCTGTCAAATTGAACTGAAAACAACATTACTAGTTGCGTAGTAGCAAATGGGTAACAGTCCTGTGTCAGAGGATGAGTACACTGGGTTATATCATTTGGATTCATAGGCTTTACGGACTTATGGTTTGTACAAGTGCATGAGGATCTGATAAACTGCGCAAGAGAGTGGAGAGGGGGATGGATGTTAGACCTGACAGTGTCATGGGTGAAATTAAGAAGTTTAGAGACAGATACAGAGGAGCACTAGCTGAAGTATTGGATACCACTTAGTTAGTGATACTTTTGCTTTTACAGAGTTAACAAAGATATTATAGCGCAAAGCTGACTACACATCAGTTGATATATTTTGCAAAGTGAGTGGCTGATTCCCATCAGTTCCAAGATATCATTCACTCTTCAACCTCTGTAGACGGAATATACCGTTTCCAACCACTTCTCCTCCATTTGTATATTCACTATCACGGTCCTGCACTGTCTATATAAACCCCCTTCTCCCCCATCGATCACTTCTCTCTTCTTCATCTCTCACCATCCTTCATCTTCAACCTCCATCTACTCTCAACCTCACACACACACAAAATACACTACAACCACATCAACAACAACCATCTCAAAATGAAGCTCAACGCTATCCTCCTCTTCTCCCTCATCGGCCTCGGCCTCGCTACTCCCGTCACCGTCGATGGAAACCTCACTGCTCGTGGCGACAGTACGTCCTCCCACCTCTCACCACAGCAACCTGCTGACTCACTCTAGACACCGACCTCGACACCGACGGCTCTCTCATCCCCCATCCCCGATGCGATGCCAACGGCGACTGTCCTCGCTACTTCGGCTGCAGAAACGGCTGGTGCTACTGCCTCCCTTACCACGTATGCCTCCCCCGTCGACACTCGAGTTGAATTGAAGGCTAATAGCTCTCGCAGATGCAGGACTGCAAGCCTCCTCGCCAGATGTAACGGGCAACCCGGCAGTCAGCGATGCGGCCATCGAGCTGATACATTCGTTGTTGGCGGTGGATTGGCTGCGTCTTTGCTGAGGTGCTTTGCATAATGCGTTGGTTATGAATGGTGATGGTGACGGTGATTCTGACGATTGGGCAATTGAATTGCGATGTAGTTAGCTAGCTACGAATGCCATCGTCTTATGACTTATGATAAAGAGTATCGTAGGTCTTATGTAGGCCACTCATGACTGGGATGTGTCGGTGGTTAGAAAAGCCATGGGGAATTTTCGGTTGTCTTGCAGACGACTAGAGGAGTCATGGCCTAGGTATTGATAATCTCCGTGATCTTAGGCTGCATCAAGACGCACCACGAATTCGATGTGAATGGTAAACTGGGGAGAATCTCGACACCGAGCTCTTTTATCTGGCGTAACTCTTCTTCGGAGGGAGCCTGCCCTTGGAGATGCTCTTGCATTTGTACGCAAAAACGTTGTCGCAGGAATTCCACCAGAGGCAGACCGAGCGTATTATATTGGTCCATGAATCCTTGAACTCTTTCTTCGAATGCATGTATCCATTCTTCTTCCTCGTTTTGTATGACGTCTGGGTCTTGACGAAATTGGACAAATTCGGCTTCATCATCCCAACACAGCAGTTGTGAGTGAGGTCCAGATCCTCAAAGGTCACCAGTCGAATAAAGGTTTCGGCTACAGCAGAGGATGGGGGTATGAGCTGGAGCAGATTCAAGGCAATGTGAAGTGCCAGGAAAGATACGTTTGTCACAAGTGATCGCAATTCCCCCGAGTTCCCCAAGGAGGCCCTCGCCAGGTTTCTTAACGTAACTGAGAGTGGCGTGCATCCATTCTTCGAGCAAGCGCACCTGCAGCAATCGTGCTTGTTCTCTGTGATTGCGTTTATCGGAAATGCTCGATTTTCCCGGTCTATGCATGCGAATTGGATATCCACATGCTGGGGTATCGTTGCTTTCCAAGGACCTTTTTAAAACCTACGGCCTGCTAGGTACGTCTATCAGGTTCAAGGTTAGTGTTTCCAATCAATCGGGGCCATATTGTAACTGATGTTGACTGGCTCGAAGATGAACTGTCCCGCCTGAAGTTCAAGCCACGGAGGTTGCATATTCGCTGCTCCTCTTGCAATGGCAAAGGGTGGACCATGGAGACATCTGAATGTGCCCGTTGTAATGGAAAGTATTATGATGCCTGTCACGACACTGGCTGCACCTGTGTGATTTGCAGTATCCATGACTAAGGCCCCCCCTCACTGCTCCGCATTAAGGGTGAGCCACAGTGAAACCACCAACCACACCAAATCCACCATTTTTCAATAGAAATCATGATTTTGAGGCTATACTAAGGGTTATATATATAAAAAAAATCACTATTATTACTAGCTACCTCTGCTAATGTATTTAATACCTTATTCTCTTATATAGATACTGGTAGTGGTAGGTATCCATGTACTTTCTCCTATTACTTTTATAAATATCTCTCTTGCGTAGTAGCATCTTTAGCCTTCCTAGAAGTAATTAACTAATTTACATCCTGTAATTTTAATATCCTAGACTGGCTAAGCAGCTTAACCTACTACTTAGTATATTAATACTATAAAGGGGCCTGCGCAGCCCTAATTTAATTATATTTAAATATCTATTTAAGATTCTACTGCAGCTTCAGTGTAAGAAGATCTATATATCTAGATATCTTTACTTAATTCTTCTCAAGGGCTTGAATTATTATTAGAGGTGAGATATTAATACTAGAAGAAGAAGCTAGATAGGAAGGAGTAGAAGGAGTAGAGAGATTAGATATATAGATATCTAGAACTTATTCCTATTATAAGATACTAAGGTTATTAGCTATCTTACTACTAACTAGCTAGATTCTATAATCTTTAAAGGCCTTACAGATAATCCTTTAGTTAAAAGCCTTCTCTTATACTAGTCTAATTATCTATAAGAATTCTGACTTCCCTACTAGCTCACCAGCCTAGTAAGATAGCTTATTATTTATATAGTAGAAGTGTTGCTTATAGCTTAAGAATGGCTTACTATCTAATAGCTAGCAAAGATGCATTATATAAGGAAGGAATCTAAAGGGAATAATACTATTATCTTTATAGATCTATAAGAATTTAATAATAAGTGTTAAGGGCTATAGCGAACCATAAAGCCGCCATACACCGCCAATACCAATAGTGCAGAGGGTTTAGACCTAGAAGATCACATAATCTACTATACATACTGTCACAGGCTAGAAGCCTTATAAATCTATGACCTAGATTTGGACAGTAAGAAATCGCTGAAGGGTTCTAACTAGGGCTGTGACGGCCGAATATAAAAAGGAGTGTGTGAATGGTGGATGAGATCATATAACTAGATTAATTACTATATTAATTACTATAAGGGTCATATGACTACTAGTGTCCTTACTAGATAAGAGTTTATTAGTACCTAAGGTAGATTATAAGTACCTAGTAGGCTTAAGTACTTAGTAGGCCTTGCCTACTACACTACCCCCCTCCCCTCCTAAAGGAGGTTAGCAGCTCTCCTATATATTAAGTACTACTATATTAGTAAGGTTAATAGCTAGTTCTTATATAGGCTGCTTATAGCCTACCTATTTAATAAGATACTCTTTATAATAGCCTTAGCTAACTTATTTCTTATATTCCTATAAGATCTCCTTAACTATATACTCTAATTCACTATCTACTAGGGTTACTAGTAGCTAATAATTACTATTTAACTAGCTTAGGAATAGATCACTGATAGCAGGGTATAGTAGACTAATATAGAATATATTATATATACCCAGTAGTATATCTAATTAGTAAGTATATAATCTAATAGCTTTAAGCACTATAAACTTTATATATTATATATTAAGCTTCTAGCTTAGGTAATCTATTTAAATATTCTATAGGTTTAACTATACTTTTAATTTTATAGTATATTATAGGGCTACTAAGTAGGAGTAGTTTAAATACTCTTCCTAATACTACTAGGCTATAGCTAGTTCTAACTATACTATATTAGTAGCTTCTCTTATCTTTATTATAATTACTTTAGCTTTTATCTTTAGTAAATAGGCTATATAGGCAGTAGCTACCTTATAGTCTAGCTCTTTAATCTCTAGTAGCTTAATATTATATTTATAGTCTAGGAAGAATAGGCTAACTTCTATACTTATAGTATCTTAGCTATTAATTACTAATTAGGCTATTAGTAGTAATAATTTCTAATTAGTCTAAGTATAGTTATAGAAGTTCCTAAGGTAGGCCTCTAATATTATATTTATTTACTTAATCTACCTATCTATCTATAGGTAGAAGGCTATTAAGAGGTGTTATTAGATACCTAGTTATTTATAGAAGTGCTCCCAGAACTAACTAATAAACTATAGACTATAGTCTGATATGATTACACTAGGAATACTATAATATCTAATAAACTAATTAATTAGTAGTTAGGTAACTATCTTAGAGTCTATTTACTTATAGGGTACTAAGATTATGCTCTTTCTAAGTCTATTACTAATTACTATAATATTCTTATAGCTATTGGAAGTGGGCAGCTTTATAATAAAGTTAATAATAATCTTATACTACTTATAATCTAGGATTAGTAATAGCTTAAGTAATCCTTAATATTATTTATACTATATATAGTTAGTACTACACTTATTATAGTTCTGCATAAATTATTAAATATCTATAGAGAGCTCTGGCTAGTAGAAGTTCTAAGTAATTATTAAGTATAGTATATTCTTCCTAGGGTGGCCTATTAATACTAAATTATATATTCCTTACAGGATCCTTATTTATAGAGGCTCTGAATTAGGGACCTATTTATAGTCCTAGTATAGTAGGTAACTATCTAGTAATATTAAATATTTAGTAATTAATACTTAAATATATAACTCTTTTAGAAATTATATAGCCCCTTCCTCTACTACCTAATACATCTCTTATAGATTTATATTATTTAGTATAGCCTCCTTCTAGTATTCCTCTAGGGGCAAGGGTGCTCTACCTATAGATATTATACTAGAGACTATATAATAGGACTACTTAGTATATTAATTATTATATTTACCTAGTAACCTTATGTCTAGGCTAGATATTGTGATATCAAACAGCATGTATATGACTTGTCTATTAGACATGCAATAATATCTAGTGATTATTATCACTATTTATATAGTTAGTTAGACCTTACATTCCTTCTTAGCTTAGATTAAAATATAAAAGAAGACTAGAATCCCTTAAAGTTAATAAGATATATATAGGGTGGCTACTAGCCTACCCCCTACCCTTATACTCTTTAAAGACTCTACATCCTTAATAATAATAAATATCCCATCTGGTAGTATATCTAGATTAAGTAAATATATAATACTTAATTTCTAGGAAGGTTTAAAACCCCTTATAAAGGATTAATCTAAACTATAGTAGCTTTAGTCTACTAACCCTTAGGAATACTATTAATAATTTAATTTTAATAAAATCCCTTATATTAATCATCTCTAACTTAATAGAAAATACCTTAGATTAGTATATTTTCAACCTCCTTAGACTAATTAAGATACCTAAGAGGGTAATAATTTACTATAGGGATATCCTTATTAACTCTTCCCTATAGTAATATTATAAGTCATAGATATTATAGGCTATTAGAGTCTTTTAAAATAGTAATAGATATAGGATTAATAATTTAACCTTAAAGAAAGATAAATTAGGAGTTATTAAAGTTATTTTAATAAGTTTAAACTAATATTACTAATTATTAAATCTAACTTCTACTCTTAATTAGATATCATTCTTTACTTAATAAAATAAATAATATTAAATCTATATCTTCTAGTATAGAGATCCCTTAAACCTAGGCTACTAATTATAATAATAGCTTTAAGATAGAATATCTTTAACTCTAATAGTAGTTTACTCTTACTACCTAGGGTATAAATAAAGATACCTAGGCTAAACTAATCTAGC